CTCTGTAGTCTGGCTTTTGATTCTACCACTGTACTGAAGTAGCTCTTCTAATGACCGTTCTCTTTGGTCTTCTCTGTAGCACTTATCTGCTGGCCATTTTCCTATTCTCTAGGCTTCTAGGGCATTACTCTCTCTGGTTTTCCTTCTTTCATCCTGGTCACTCCCCAGTATTCTCCACCCTATCCCTTAAATGCTGCTTTGGTATCTGTCAAATATATTCTCATCCTACATTCTCTCTTAACAGTGGTTCTTAACTTTTTTGGGACACATATAACTTTGATAATCTGATAAAGCTATGGTCTTTCTACCCAGAAAAACATACAATTGTATTTCAGCTACAGCATCAGGGGGTTCAAGGAATGTACCTGACTCCCTATTTGAAATCATCTACTTATATTTATATATGCTGATGATTTGAAAAAATATCCATATATATAAACAGTACAGACTACTCTTCTAAGCTCTGGACCTCTATTATCTACTCAAAGTCTTTACCTGGATGTCCTACCTCAATACAACACAGCCCAAATTGAACTCTACCACTTTTCCTCCAAAACTACTCCTCCTTTATTTCCTATTATAGTCAGCCCTCTGTATCCATGGGTTCCACAATGATGGAATCATTGGGCAAAAACATTTGTGAAAAAAATTTCAGAAAGTCCCAAACTGCAAAACTTGATTTTTCTGCACACTGGAAACTATTTACAATGTATTTATAACTGTTTACATAGTATTTACATTGTATAGGTATTGTAACTAATCTAGAGATGATTTAAAGTATATGGGAGAATGTGTGACAGTTAGATGCAGATACTACACCATTTTACAAGTGACTTGAGCATCTACAGATTTTGGTATCCCTGGGAGTCGTGGATATCAAGGGATGACTATATTAGTCAATGATACCACCGGTTTGACCAAGTCAGAATTCTGAATGTCATCTGACTTATCCACCCTTCCAAAAACCAGATTTTTAAAATTAACAAAAGCACTTCATGCTCAATTTTAAAAATTCAAACACCTAAGTAGAAAAAAGCATAAAGTGAAGATTATCCTCCACCTCTCCCTTTAGTAATTCTGCCTTATGACAACAATTGAACTAAATAGTGACTGAGCCCTTTAGATGGGCTCTTCAGTTCATCATTACTACTGAGCCCATTTCACTCATTTATGTTACCTGTCTGGCCTCCATAGGATCTAAATTTACAAATCCTTCTGTATATACTGTTGAGTGATCTAGTTTTCATCAATACATATCTTGGATATATTTGGGTATCAGCATATACAAGATACAGCTTTATTTGTTAGCTAATCTACCATTCTGATGGCTAAACAGTATTCCATCATATAGATGCACCATAGTTTAACTACTGATAATTTCTTATTGTTGAATATTTTAGAATGCTGTTTTCTTAATTACAAAGTTGCAATTACAAACACATGTACATTTGCACATATGCCTTTGCAAACTTGTATGGAATATTCCTGAGATGAACTTGCTTAGTCAAAGGGAATACACATTTATAGTCCTCGTACCAATTTATGTTTTCACCAAGGAATAGGAGTACTTGGCATCATTTTTAATTCTCCCTGTCCTTTACTTATACCCTGAATTTCCAACCATTTATGAAGGTTATCAATCCTACTTCCTCAATATCTCTACCTTCTGTTCCCATCTTTCCATTTTTATTGCTTTGTAACTTAGTTCAAGCTCTCAGTACTTTAACTTGGACTGTTGTCAATAGTTTCATTCTTGGTGATCTGTCTTTTTAAAGGCTTAGTGAGACATACTAGGTGCCTTTCATGATTTGGCCCCACCTAACTTTAAGAACTCCTTTATTAACACCCAAACTAGCTCCCACTCTGCACCATAGCCAAACTCAACTGTTTGCACTTCCCTATCCAAGGTGCTCTCATCTTTCTAGCATTTGCACTCTCTATCTGGAACTTCTTCCCTACCTTTCTCCACTTGACTATCTGCTCAGCACAGCAAGTGCTCAGTAAGGAATTAGCTGCAATAATCATCATCCTTTAAATTTTAGCTCAAAAACCACCTCCTCTTGAAAGAGTTTCCTGCTTTCCATACCAGTAGAAAACTTGGAAAACTACAAAAGATGAACATGAAGATAATCCTAACCTTACATCTCAGAAATAACCACTATTATCATCACTTTTTTATGTATCTTTTCATAAAAAGCATAACTGAGATGAAATTAAAGTTATGTGTTTTACTTTTCTCACTTAACATTCTAAGCACTTTTGTCATTAGTTTTTTAGAATAAGCTTTCAATCTTTACACAATAATCTATCATGCAGGTGGTACACTAGTCATTCCCTTTACATTAACCATTCCCTTTACATTAACCACTCATTTCTCATTAATATAAATGAGATTATTGTGAATAGCTTTGTCTGTATCTCTGATTAGGACAGATTATATAGTCCTCTGAGGAGGGTATTATCATTTCCCCCGTTTTATAGATGAGAAAGCAGAGTCTAAGTTGCTTGTCCAAAGTCATACTGCTATGAAGGGGTGGGGCCAATATTTAAATTCAAGTCTACCTGACTATAAGGTCTGTTCACTTAACTATTTTAAGTCTCAGTGCTGTCAAAGAGCTTTCTAGAAATGTCTCATAATTATATACTGCATATGTAAAGAGTACCTACCTCACTAGCATTTTTCATACTTCCATTAAAAAAGAAACCAAACTCATCTAATAAGCAAAAAACAGATGGTTTATCTGCTTCAATTTTCATTTCTTTGATTACCAGATACAACTGAATATTTATTCATTTTCATTTGGCATTTAATTTTTGTCTTGTGATTTGTCTACTGCCCTCTGCTCATTCCAATTAGCATCTTCTGGGGTTTTTTTCTTATTGCCTTATCTAAGCTCCTCATAAACCTGCCCTCTATCTTAAGGCAGCTATCCCCAGGCCAAGCATCATCTCTGTAACATTCCTGCTTGCTTATTACTTGTTATATTCATTTTAAGACATCTGTGAGGCTGCTAACTTCTATTACTAGAATTTGGGCTGATTAGTTTTAGGTATTTTCAGGAGACAATAATGGAAAGATAAATGACCTGCATTTCCACTTTACAATCAGCAATAAGAAGGGTACAAGGGACAAAATAGATTCTTTTAACCCAACCTAGATGGAATAAACTAGAAGGCTCATCTCCTACCACTTCTCTTAATGAAATATATAGGTTCTAGCCAGTACAGTTCCTGGACTTGCCCCGTTCTTTCATTCCTCCATGATATTCTATCCTCTATACCTAGAATACCCATTTTCTCATCTGTCTTTCCAGTTGTCCCCTTTCATCTCCTCCTTCTAATTCTCTGTCCCTTCTGATGAACTTAACAGCCACATTACTTGGGCTGCTGAATACTGTAGGAGAAAAGTCATACAGACTGTGGATTTTTAGTTGAGACCTCAGTATGCTAGGCAATGCTCTTAAATTCCCTTAGCGCCCTCTTCTTTTTTGCTTCACGAGTTACATGGGACTGTCATTTTGCTGCTTAATTCTTTCAGTATTCTTCCATTTAGGATAAAGTAAAGGAAATCAGTCCTGAATATTCATTGGAAGGACTGATGCTGAAGCTGAAGCTCCAATACTTTAGCCATCTGACGCCAAGAAGCTGACTCATTGGAAAAGACCCTGATGCTGGGCAAGACTAAAGGCAGGAGGAGAAGGGGACAACAGATGGTGAGATGGTTGGATGGCATCACTGACTCGATGAACATGAGTTTGAGCAAGCTCTGGGAGTTGGTGATGGACAGGGAAGCCTGGCGTGCTACAGTCCGCGGGATCGCAAACAGTCGAACATTGACCGAGCGACTGAACTGAAAAACTCTTAGGTATGGCATATGGCATACACTAGGTCCTCTTATGATTTGACATCTACTTCTCTACATATAACCAGTCATTCACTAAATTTAACTCTACACTTAACTGCAACCCCAATAACTCGTTTCTTAAACCCAAGATGTAATTTCAGGCTTCTGTGACTTCACATATTGCTATTCTCTCTGCAGAGAATGCTGTCTCCTCCACATCCTTTGCTTCGTAAACTCCACTGATCCTTTAGAACTCAGCTTAAGAAAATTCTATTATAGGTAGCTTCCTCTCATCCCACTCTGATTAAGATATTCTGTTTCCGTTTTACTTTGGCACTCTGTGCATGCATTTATCATTACATCTAAGTTCTGTGATTTTTCTTTGGTTTTCCCAACTAAACTATAACCAATTTGGAGGCAGAGAACATATCTAATTTTATTTTATATTTGTAATATCTATCAGTGCCAGCACATACTAGGTGCTCAATAGATGTTTATTTAACAAGTGAGCTGTTCAAAACTGAACTTTATTAACTTGTTTGCAAAGCCTTCCTAACCCTTAGGTGAAGGTGCTCCTTCCTCTCCTCTAGGGCACTTCATACATCCTTCTAATATAGCCCTTGATAAGCTGCATTTTAACTGTTTCTCTTCACCGTCTGGACTGTGAATTACATGAGGACAGTGATGTCTTTCCCATCAGTAGATTGAGTAGCTAGCATAGAACCTGACACATATCATTCAATCAGTTCATATACTGAGCAGGAATTCCATGCTCTGAGGAAGCACACCATGGTCTATTTTAACACATTTCCCTAAGTTCCATCAAAGGGCCTGGGGAATAGGTAAGCTTTCACAACTCATGGAAAGTAGTGATGGCCCAAAGTGACATCTATATGATTTTTATTCTCATCTCATTTTTCTGTGCTTTTGAAGTTTAGAAAATAAATGTACATTGCTTTGTCATCATTAAACATTATTAGCAAACTTTATAGAACACACTAAAATATGTCTTTTTTTTAAATGCAGAGTTAAGTCACTTGATTGACTCTGCTGACTATCACAGCTCAAGCCTGCTTTATGCACTTAACTTTTAATAATGCTAACTAATGTTGGGTGGATATACTGATGGAAAGAGAAAAAAAGGAGAAATACTCACCATTGTATTTAACACTGTTGGCCAGAATAAGGTTGACATCGTCTAGAAAGCTCTCCCGACTCTGATACTTGTGCTTGGAGATATTCTGTAATTAAAAGAAATCAAGGGACTGAGATACACATATAAAGTTACTTGCTTCCAAAAAGACATTTTAAACCAAATCACTCACTTTACGTATGGTCTCTAAATCCATTGGACTGACAATTACTTTGTAATAATCTGGAACAAATTTCTTATTAACTGGGTGATGAAACGGCCAAGACTAGTAAAAAGAAAACATGAGAAATTAAATGGAAACCATTCTTTATATCAGAGCTTCTCAACCTTCACTGGATCATAATGTTAAGATCCTGACAAAAGCTATGGACCCTTTCCCCAGAAAGACACATAATCACACAAAACTTTGCATGTGTTCATGGATTCTTTTAAGGGTTCATGTGCCCTGACAGGGTAAGGACCCCTGCTCTATATTCACAATTAAAATCTCTCATCCCCTAGTCCCATGTAGAGGGTTCACAGCATTATTGCATATACAACATATGCCTAAAACACAAAAGGAAACTCAGTTCAGAATTCCCTAGGGAAGGTCATTATAACAAAATGATATAGAGACCCAACATGGTAGCCCTGTCATAAAGTTGCAAAAGGGAAAAACTGAAACAAAAGACAACAAATGCTGGGTAATTATCAAACTCTCGTTTGTCAAGAAGCACCTCTAAATCCAAAGCCTCCCATATTACCTGGTATCCTAATTTCTCTCTCGAGCTACCTGAATGTCAACAGGAATAAAGAACCTCTCTATATCACAGATTCCTGGCCTCTTTGATTTCAATGATAATGCACTCATACAGCAAAAAGTTTCTTTTTAAAATTATATACCAGTTTGAAAAAAAGAAAAGAATTACATACCAGTTTGAATTGACAAACACCACACTCCAGACTCCCCAATCATACACACACATGCAAACACTCTTTTGTCCTTTCCTTTCCTTTGTACTATCTTCACAATATTCAACATACAGACCACTTACATCTGGAACTGCCATCATTTTCTGGGTGACAATGTTGTCCAGAATAAAAGAAAATGCCACTTGGTCATCATCATCCAGCAAGGGGTTGATAGCTTTCTCTAAACGAGCCAATTTATCTTCTTTCTGACATGAAACAAAGCAAAGGAAACATAAAGGTTTCCCTGAGGTATAATCATCATAGAGTATTAAGGACAATTAATATTTCTCTTGTCCCAAAAAGTCTAACTTTGAATTGTAAACTCATCTGTTCTAGACAAAAATTCAGATAAGAAATAATACTCCAGTAAAAGGATCAAAAGAGATGTGTCAACCACTCTTATAGGTATTCTATCTTCTATTCTTGTAGATAATAAAAAATATACACCCTTGGGCAACAACAGCTTAGCTCCCACAACAAAAACATCTTCACCAAATTAAGTTTTAATATCATACTGTTTTTGCTGTAAAACTATCACTGAAAACACTGGACACATTATTGTTGATTAGTAACTTTTGTACAAGGGAATCTAACCCAATAAATTCATTTTAGACTATACTATGAAAAAGTCTGTGTATCAATTGCTTCATGTCCTAACCCACTAAAACTCAATCTTCTTAAAAATTATTTTTGGCTGCACTGGGTCTCTGTTGTTGTGTGAGGGCTTTCTCTAGTTGCAGTGCATGGGCTTCTCATTGCAATGGCTTCTCCTGTTGTGGAGCACGGGCTCTAGAGCTTGGGCTCAGCAGCGGTGGTGTGTGGGCTTAGTCGCCCTGTGGCATGTGGAATCTTTCCCCACTAGGGATGGAACCTGTGTCCCCTGCACTGGCAGTTGGATTCTTAACCACTAGACCACCAGGGAAGACCATGTCTTTTAAGTTTTTTTTTTAATTTTAGCCTTTCTAAGTGGGTATGAAGTATTAACTGGCTTAACTGGTTTAAATTTTTATTTCCACAATGATCAACCAAACTTATAATCGTTTCATGTTTATTGGCCATTTGGCAATCTTTTATGAAATTTCTACTTCAGTATTAACATCTTCACATTTATATTTTTTAGGCCTGTACAGCTGCCATATTTTGTTGTTGTTAAGAAGATAAAATACAGATTATCTTTTAAAAATTAAAATTTCTCCCTGCCAAAACAGTGGTGGCTTTCCGGGAAGTCAATTTCCTTAGCCCTTTCTAAAGTGTTATGTGGATTTTACATTTTAATCCTAGTTCTACTATTTAACAGCCATGATGCCCAAGACAAGTTAGTTTCTCCTATGGACCTCAGTTTTTCCATCAACAAAAGGGAGGGATATGATTTCTAAGGTCCCCTCCAGACTCTAATGTACGAAAGACCTGCTTCTCCCTCATTTCTCTAATCTTCTGTTACATTCCCTACTTCCTCAATTCTGGTACCTGCCAGCTTCAAATTCTATCGCCTTTCTCTCATTTTAAATGTCTTACCTCTTTAAGTTTTTCATCACAGAGATCTAGCATTGATTGAGAGATCTGGGTCAGTGAATGCTTTGGCCCTAGATTACAGAGAAACAAACAGGAAGAGATGAGACCACGGACATGGGAGGCAAGAGTACCAACACCTCTCCAGACTTGCACCAACCTAGCTGCTGAGTCAGACAGATACATCAGTCTTACCTCCATTTTTCAGTGCCTAACACATAGCAGATGCATAATATGGATGAATAAACTAATTTTAATTCTCTCCCTTATTTGTGTATATCCACACACAGCAGTACTACCTTTAATACACAGCAGTACTACCTTCGATACTGCTGCCTTTAATACCTTGAAAATAATACCATTGATAGGAAAATGACAATTTATTTAAAGATGACTAAGGAGATCATCTTTCCATATTTAGCATTCAAAATTTGTGACAGCAATTTTTGTTTGCAGAACTCGTGGCTTGTGATGTCCGTCCAACATATCCAAAGCCTTTGTCAGAAAACAATCTCCATCCTAGCTCAGACTACTACTTTAGTTTCCCTGAAGTCCCTAACAAGAGTTTTACAAAATCCTCCAACTATCACCTACATTCCCTGCTTATGGCTACCCTAATTTAAGCTCATCATAGGGACAGTCAAAACATTTTCTTCTCAACAGTAATTCTGTTTCCTTGCAGTATCCTTTATTTATCTTCCTGTCAATTCTTTCAAAGGAAGTGCTCCCCAGAGCCTAAACCTCAGCTCTATCCTCAACTACTTATTAATTAATTAGCAGGCATTTATTTATTCATTCAGCAATTGTTTAATGACTGTGACATGTTCAATGATGAGATTAAAGGGAAAATATGACACAAGTCCTACCTTAGAGAGTTCTTGGTTTAGTCAAAGAAAATGACATGAAAATAAATTGCTATACGACAAGGTATAAGTGCTTGAAGTATCTATGGGTGAAATGATATGATATCTGGAAATATAAATAATGAACAAGACTGGCCATATGTTGGTAAGTGCTGAACTGCGTGAATAGGTGCAGTGAAGTTTATTTACTTTCTCTCTACTTCTGTATATGCCTAACAATTTCCATAATAAAAGTTTTTAAAAAGTGAGTGTAAGTGCAAATAGAGGGATATACTAATTACTATGAACTGTGGAGGGTTGGTAACAGTTTCAAAACAATTATATCTGAGTACCAGGAAGGAACAGGAAAGGCTTGTTTTGACTCACACTTGAGCAGTGTCATTAATGAAGAGAAGTCCACCAGGTAGATAGTATCGTAGGAAAACATTCCACAGGGAGGAAGAAGTGTGCAAAAACATTTAAGTAAGCAAATTCATGGAAACATGAAGCAACACATTTCACAACAGAAATTACAAGTAGTTTTGTATAACTGGAATACAGTATGTGTGTGGAAGAGAAACCGGAAATGGAACTTGGAAAGGCTGAATGGGACATATTACAATGGTCTCATAGGAGATACAAAGGCACTGAAGATTTTAAGCTAGAGAGTAATTTTTCAAACTTGTATATCAGAAAAAAAAATACCCTGTCAACAGTGTGAAGAATTAAGGCAGGCAGCAGAGAGAAAGTCTGGAAGCAACTGCAAGAGGTGAAAGAAGAGATGACAAGGGCTTCAACTAAGATAGTAGCAATGGAGACCAAAAGGAAGGGAATTTGTTCCAGCAAAATTTATAATGTACAATTTATGGAACTTAGTGATCTACGAGTGCAGGAGATGCAGAGTGAATCAATGATGACCAATATTTCTAGGTTGTATAACTAGAAGGATAGTAATACCACTGATGGTGGTACTATTATCATCATCATTCAGGTATAAGGAAGAAAGAAGATTGAGATAGAGGGGGATGGAAGGAGAAAATCATTTCCAAAATTTTACTAACATTGCCTCTAAATGACCCACAGGTACTTCAAGCTCTGCATTTTCAATGTCAGCTCTTACCTCCCATTCCCCTTCCAAGTGGATTTTTTTTATGCATTTATGCTTGCCAACTTGAATGACAGTTGGGCCTAACAAATTTATTCTTTCTTTGTATGTGTCTGGTACTCTGCTAGGCCCTTGGAATAGAAAGATGAATAGTCTCTCTAGGAGGTCACAAAGTAGTAGGAAAATCAAATATATAATCAATTATATGTAACACAATAAGAGCTAAAAAGTTGATTTAATTGTGCTAAGGAGGCACAGATGATTGAAAAATGGGTACCATGGGCAATATGAATGCATCTTCATGAAGTGATGATATGAGCTGGTCTGGAAATATGAATGGAAAGAGAATAAAGGGCATTCCTTACAAAGGGCAAAGACTGTGCAAAAGAATGAAGACATGGGATAGGATATTTAGTGAAATACAATGCTGAGTGTGACAGGAATCTATAGTAGGTATAGGAGCCAGTCACTGGAGATGAGACTAGATAAATGGGTCAGGCCTGCTTGTGAAAGGTATTAAAATCTAGGTACACTATTGGCCCATGTGTACAGGTGAGAAAACGGAAAAGGTTATAAGATGTTAAATAAGACATCTAAGGTAATTCAATTATTAAGTGCCATAGTTAATCTGTACCCTTAATCTCTACACTTATAGACAAATCTGTGCTCAAGGATACAACTGGAAATCAGAAAATTTTATCCTTTACATGCAGAAGCTGTATGTACTATATCTTGAACTCTTTAAGACTCAGAAAATAGATTTCTTCCTCCTTGTCTTTTCAGTTTTTGAGCAAAGTGGACATATAACAGCCCCTATAACATATCTGTAGATCAAATCAAAGACAAATACAGTCACAAGCACATACTCTATGGGGGTTCCATCCACACTGAATGTCCCTTCTATTAACCTAGGCTCACCTCTTCCTCCCATACTCCCCATGCAATTGTTTCAACAGATAAGACTCCAAATTCTCCAGAGGATACATTAAGTGGGAATAAAAAGCAGCAATATCTGTTAAATGATTAAAAACATATGTTATCTGATTTTCATAACCCTCAAACTCACTAATACATTGTAGGTCCTTTCCATCAGTCCAATCTAGTCTGAATCTAGGACTAGTATGGAATTAAAAAAGGATCTGAAAGGCGATCTTTGCAGTCAAAGACAGGTGATTCTTACCATTGTAGGTTGCACTATTTTTCACAATTAGCTCCAAATGCTCCCTGAACTCTTCCCGAGATGGGTAGAGGCGTTTACGCACATTTTCACGGAGTGTCTGTAAGTCCATCGGCCGGGTGATGATCTTGTAGTAGTCCTTTACGACCTTTGCATTGACTGGAGTGTGGAAAGGGTATGTCTGTGCAAACAAGAGCCAGCACCATCCATGAGCAAAGAACATTTGCCATAACCAATTCCTCAAGACTCTCTCACATCTTACCTGTCTCTACCTGGCCATCAACTCTCAAAGGAATCTCTCTAGATGGAATAGGTCTGACTGTTTCCTCTACTAACTGTTAAAAATAAACAAACTATATCCCAAAGAATAAGGAGTTTGAGGTTCTTAGGACTCTACTGCCCTCTATCTGAAATCAGACAGAACAAAGGGCCTTGCCATCCATACTGTAGACCTGAATGCAGTGAACTCACATTCGGAAGATCTCTCATGTCATTGATGATAGACTCCAAAATGGATGACAATGTCACCATGGGGTCTGTCCGGCGCCGGTGAATGGATTTATGAGGTCTCTAAGGAGAAACAAAATATCAGAATGCTTCTTTAAATAAAAAAAAATACATTTTGGAAACCTTGTAATGAGCAGTACATGTAATTCTCAGGGCAATACCACAGGGAGAATCTAAGGCTGTTATCAGGGCCACAAGGCTTAGAGGACTGGGGGAATTAATGAGAATCCCATCTGGTCAGAAAGCAGCAATGCAGATACTCACATTCAAATAGTCACAGTGAACAGTAGTTCCAACTCGCCGTTTCTTCTTGGGAGGAAGTTGCTGCTTAGGGAACTTGAGAACCAGAGATTTTCTGCGAACCTCATCTGCACTGTAATAATCATAACACTTTCATAGCATGCAGTCCCTATTTCTAGCCCCCAGAAAAAAAGCAACCACAAAGAAAAAGCCCAAAGTACCTGAGCATGAGCCTGGGTAGTAAAAAGCCAAACTAAAGGCCAGACATCCACATCCCAAGGCTCAGATTGGGCAAGACCTCATAGTATCTCCAAATTAATAAAGAACTAAGCAAGCCACAAGTTCACCTCAGTTTCCTACTTGGAAGATAAAGGAACTAGGCTAAAGGAATTTCAAGAATCTTTCCATCTCGAATATTCTATCTCAGGATAAAAGGGCTAGGAAATTTAACTTATTCAGAATAGAAACAAGGAAGAAATTAAAGCTTGTTTGAAAATAAAAACTAGGGACTTCCTTAATGGTCCAGTGGTTAGGACTCCATGCTCTCACTGCAGGAGGCATGGGTTCAGTCCTTGGTTGGGGAACTAGGATCCCGGATGCCACACAAGAGTGGCCGAAAAGAAGAGAAAAAACTAGTTTGAGTTTCCCTCAATCATTAAAAGCCCAACTACCTACTTCCCTTTAATCATATGAGATCAAGATACTATAATTCCTTTTTCTAATGTGCTTTAAAACATGACTACTATAGATGTTGATAAATTAACAAGGATAGGAGAAAACTCCCAAATCTAAACAAAATAAATGAATATAACTACATATTAAATTAAAAATTACATACTCAAAAAATAAATATATTTTGAATGTAATACCCTGACTGTCAACTCCTGTGGCATATAATCCAAGGACAACAAATTACAGAAAATATCTTGAATCTACTTTACATGTTTGTTGTTGGTAGTAGTATGTGTGCTCAGTTGCTCAGTCGTGTCTGACTCATTGCGACCCCATGAACCGTAGCCTGCCAGGCTCCTCTGTGCATGGGATTTTCTAAGCAAGAATACTGGAGTAGGTTGCCATTTCCTTCTCCAAATTCTCAAACTATCTTGTACATATCACAGGATGGGCAAATGTATAAATACACTGATGCTGGGAACCAAGAGGATATAAATATAAAACAGAAAAAGAATAAAACTTAATGATGTACAAATAGAGGTGATACAATGTTTTCACTGATTTTAATTAAATCAAGAACCTAAAAAGTGTGAGCTAAAAATAAAATGCAAACTATAGCTAAAAAACAGAAAAAGATGAAGAATCTATAGATATAATTTGTTTTGGAAGTATTGATATGAGGTTGTGACTTACAATATGTGTATATTTCCTAGTTCTATCTACCAAGAACCTAGAAGCAGTGACATCTCAGTGGCAATGAGGATACTTAACACCTAGATATTGGTTCCAAAATACTATTCCCCAATAAAAGGAACCAGGACTCCCTGAGAAAGGGCTGATTCTGGGTCTGGGACAGAGAAATTTCAAGGAAAGCCTGACATCTAGTGCCAGAAAGCAAAGAAGTTTGCAAAATTTATAGGTTCATTTCAAAAGGACACAGGTTCTGGCTTGAACGGATCAAATCTGGGACAATCTGGGCATCCAAATTAATAATGATGTTAACAGATTTTAATATATTATAGTTTACAAAAGGAAGAATTTCAGAATCCATAGTAATATTCAAAAAAAGAGAGAGAAGCCCTGCTTTACAGAATGCCACTTAGTGTAAAGAATGATAGAATTAGAAAAACAATGAAGCAACCCCCTATGTAATAATGAGTTAGGTAATGATCATCAATGGATGTTAAAACTATTGAGAGAAATATTCTAAGAGAACAGGATATTCACCCACAAATTAATTACAATGGGAAAAAAGTATCTTTATTATAGAGGAATCTGAGTATTACCACTTTAATAAGATGATCAAAATACTGAGGAGCATATACTGACATTATATGCTTTCTCATGTGGTGCGGTAAATGCATAATATTACTTCTGCTGCAATCTTGCCAAAGATAAATATACATCAACACAAAAACAGACACATCTAGAATGTGGAATATTTTATGAGACCATTGACCTGGACTCTTCAAAAAATTCAATGTCATGAAAAACAAGGTGGGGAAGACAGTTCTACATTAAGAGAGATTCAAAATACTTAATGTTTGAACTGGAATTGATCCTGAATGGAAGTAGGGTGTATGCAATAAAGAATATTGAGACAACTGGGGAAATTTGAATAAGGACTGAATATTAGATACTACTGAATTAATGTTAAATTTCTTAGGTGTAGTAATAGTATCATGTTTGTGCATGCTAGGTCACTTCAGTCATGTCCGACTCTTTGCGACCCCATGGACTACAGCCTGCTGGGCTCTATCTATGGGATTTTCCAGGCAAGAATATTGGAATGGGTTGTCATTTCCTTCTCCAAGTATCATGTTTGTTATGTCCTTTTTCTTTGGAGATGTGTGCTAAAGAATTTGAGAGAAATGTCATGATGCCTACAACTTCCAAATGTTTCAGCAAAAAAGAAAATGTTTTAGATACATAAAGATGAAACAAATGTGACAAATGTTAACAGGTAGTGAATTTAGAGAAAAAACATACTATATTATTCCTTCAGCTCTTCTGTAGGTTTGCAATTTTCAAACTAAAAAGTTGGGGGGATTCTTTTTCTAATTTAAAAACTTTTCTCATTGTACAGCAGAAACCAATACAACATTGTAAAAATGAATTTAAAAAAAATAAAAACTTTTCTATTCTTTTTTTTCATTTATTTATATTAGTTGGAGGCTAATTACTTTACAATATTGTAGTGGTTTTTGCCCGATTTGTTTGAACCCAAAGGCAATAAATATTCAGTTAGAAAAAAACTTTTCTACTTGATTATCAAATTCTCTGAGGACAAGGGCTAGGTGAGTGTAAGCATAGTCTGTCTCCTCAATCTTTTTGGCTGGTCCATTATCAGAACACCTGAGATCAGGGACCTTACAAATATTACAAGTGCCTGGAATTAGAACAGGAAGAGCATTTAGTACATACCAGGTACTGTACTACTTGCTTTATATAGTCTCCTTCATTTTATCTTCATAGCTACCCTTGAAAGGGTGATTTTATTTTGCAAATAAGGAAACTAAGACTCAGAAAAGTTGAGGCAAGTGGGTGGTGTAGCTTAATGAGTGCTTTACAAGACTATAATTTCCATTACTGGCAACAATTACTGAGGGAAGTCCATTAAAGTTCCTATGTCCTCAGTTCCACTTCAGAGAACACATCACATCCACCCCTGCCCCCCACCAATATCGCCAACCTCCAACAGATCTCTCCCACTGCTCTTACCTCTCAATTAGCTGTTTCCCTAGGACAATCTTGGTCCCTTCAACCTTGATAAGTTCCTCATTATCATTATGAATGACTGTCTTTTCCAACTCCTCCTCCTGCTCCTCTGTCATGGCAACAGGGTTGGAAGGGGGAGCATTTGTTTGATAATAAAGAGGGCAGAATTTGTTTGTTCTCATGTGCCCAATGGCACCACAAGCCCCACATTTCAGCTGTAAAAGGGAAAGTATCAACATGTCAGAGGTAAGCAGGCTTCTTCATGTTAGCTTTAAGAAATACACAGAAGGCAGATGAGAAACAAAGGCAGGCCCAGAACTTTTATTCTCATAGACTTGTTACACACCTTTCAACCAGAAGCCACCAAACAAAAGTACATGTGTGGAAATGACATATTAAAAACGAAATGAAATCCAGAGACTGAACGTTACTTTAAAAATCAAATGAGGAAGAAAAGGCAGAGGATTTTTAACCCAACTTAAGTTGTAAACTATGAAAACATTAAAAATGCAGAAGAAAGGCTATTGGAAGCCCAAGGTTGCATTCAGAAGCACAGGCAGCCAGAATGAGTATATTCCCAGTCTCAAGGAAAAGGCTTAATAATACTAAGTCTCTTGAAATTCCCTGGCAGTCAGTGGTTAGGACTCTGTTCTCACTGCAGAGGACCTGGGTTCAATCCCTGGTCAGGGAACTAAGATCCTATAGGCAATGCAGTGCACCCAAAAAAAAAAGAGAAAAAAAGAAAAAAAAAAACACATAACACTCCACACATAAAAAAAGCCAAAACAACAACAAAACAAGTCTCCATCTTAGTTGTGCAACTGCCCTCACTGTCATCTGTAAAATGGGATCAATATTGTATCACATAATATCACATACAAGAAACATTAGAATACTTAATGAGCTCTGTACATGTTAACAGCAGTCCACATTTGTTGAGAATTTTACCAGGTATAAAATGCTTCCCACGTATTACATTCCTTAATACAATACCACTGTGAGATAGGTATCATTTTAAAGAAGAAAAAATAGGTTGGAGAGGTTATGGTCACAGAGTTACTAAATGGCAGAATAAGAACCTGAACCCAGATCTTCTATTTCCAAGTCCACAGCTCTTTCCACTGTACCACAGTTGACTCATTTTTGTGATGCATTGCACAGTGATACCTAAACTATGCAAAGCAACCTGTATTGTATGTTTTCTCAGTCACTGCTTTTAATACATGCAATTTAAAAACAAGATGTGTCTACATATGTACATAAATATAAATGTCAAAAAAACCCACCACACCTGTCTCAACTCATAGAAAATATTTTCAATGGATGAAGCATAAAATGACACCCAGTGATACCAGATTAAATCTGGTATTATCAGTTCCAGTTGTAATTATAACACCCAAGTGGCCACATCAGTTCAAACTAGCTTTCCATAATACTGTCTTCATTCCCAGTAAGGTAGGATGCCAAAAGCTAAGGGAAAAGGTATCCTTTCTTTCTCTGCTTTGTTAGTTATGATATTACACTATACTTACTTTTAGGTCAGGACGCTCCTTCATTTTTTTGGGCTTCTTCTCAGGAGGACCCTTAAGCTTCTCCTTTTCCTGGTTTCGCTTAAGTCGCCTCAGTTGCTCTTGAATCCTCCGCCGTTCTTTTCGCATCTCTTCTCGATGTTGTTCATCAAAAAGGGCAAATTTTCGACTATATAAAGGGGAAAAAAATTCACAGATCCATAAGCAAACTTAAAACCAAGAAAAATGTCCTGATAGCAAACATCTCAGAACTAAAGTAATACTGAAACAAAAGGGGCTACATGGCATTCCCACTTAACCTGCTCATCAGTCTTCCATGTGCAGAGGTACCTCTCTCAGAATGAGGACCCCCTAAGATTTTTGCCAACCAACCAACAAAAACACAAAGGACCCAGAGAGAACTTAAAACATGCCTTTATTTTACAGCAAACTGGGGATTCTCTCTGTGGTCTGTCTCTGTTCAAACCCAAAGTTCTAAAGGCAAGATGGTTCTCAATTAACACAGATTTCCAGGGACAACTGTGCAGAATCTTGTCACTAAAACTAAGTATCCATCCTCACCCCCTTCCCCATCATTATCATTCTCCTTATCACACTGGCAAGTGGGAAGTCAAACTCACATGAATTCCTCATCTTTTGTGGTCCGTATGCGCACATAGGCATCAATGACAGCTGGCTTTCGGACCGTCTCACAGCGAACATATTCTTTCCCCTCCTCATCTCGAAACGTGCGATAAATCTTGAGACAACGGCCAGTGGCAGAAGAATTAAGGCTTGTCACAGAAGCAGTGTCATCATCTCTGTGATTGTTTCCTGATGCTGCTGAGCCTGCTGCTGCAAGGAGAAAAAGATTTCTACACAGTCCCCCTACCACCTAAATGGCTAGTTTCTTGGGGTTGAGTGGAGACCCCCAAACGCAACATGCCACAGAACTATTGTTCTATAGAAAGCATCAAAGTCACCACCAGCCCCAAGGACACACTAGTTGTCCTTTCCTGACTTTATTTTCATTTTATCACTGTCAATGTTCCCATTTTTATAAGTAAAGAAAGTTCTGAGAGGATCTTAAAGACACACGTTTGTCATATGGACGACAGCAGAGCAGTAGCTGTATTTTGATTTCTTTGAACAAATGCACAAAAGGAAAATCCAAGCAGGAAGTAGTTGATGATCACATTATAGAAAAGCACCCAAGCACTGGGGATGGCGGGGGTGGGGGCTAGGGCGCGGCAGGCAGGAATGACACCACAGAAAAACTCCAGTCTTAAGGCCTAGAGTATGCTTCTCAAACTTTAATATGAATGAACAGGAATCATCTGAGGATCGTGCTAAAATACAGATTCTAATTCAGCAGGTTTGGAGTGAAACCTGAGACTGCATTTCTAACAAGCTTCCACATGATGTAGACAATGCTGGTCCAAGACCACATTCGAGGAAAGGCTTTATCATATCTTTACAAAATAGCCAAAACAACTGAACCACACAAAGTTTTTACAAAGGGAAAACAAAGGAAAGACTACTGTTAAGTGTAGTCATTTAAAACGTTCATCTTCAGCCTTTATCTTCTCTCAGTATCTACATCCAAGTTCTCAATTGCCTCTTTGACATCTATACTGGGGAGTGTCATAAGGACCTCAAAATCCACATATTATACCTTTCCTTCTTAAACCTGCTTCTTTTTCTGAAATGTACTACCCTAATTAATGGTACCACCATCTTTACAGCAAGCCAGAGTGAAACCTTAGCATCACCTTGATCTCTCTCCTTTTTTCATTCCTAACGACCACATCTCAAACCAGTTCAGGCCTTCATCATCCCCATCCTCAATTTATGCAATTTAGGGTTGGTGAGTTTAAACTCTTTTTAGAATCTAAGACTCCTCTGAGAATGTTCTGAAAGCCATGGATCTTCTCCTCAGAAAAAGTACACCTGTACTGACTTCTACATGTGATTTCAGAGGGTTCATGAACAACCCCCAAATCTATTAAAAACTCTTACCCTCTAGGATGAATGCCCATAAAGCTCAAGTGATGTACAGCCACGATTGTCTTGGTTTGGCCAGGCCTGATAGAAACAAAGGCAGTAGCAGACTGGCAGCATCTCTTCAATTTGTGCCCCACAGACATATCTAGAGTCCAGTTTGCAGAATCTCTCTACTTCATCTATGGGCTTTTCTATACTCATCTCCTACTTTTCCTGCCTCCATCTTTACCTTAGTTATTAGTGAGCAGTTATTTACAATTTTTCGATCTTTCTTTTTTTTGTCTGTCTATCTGTAAAGTCACTACCCTCACCCAGTAGCATCCTCTGTAGTTCCTTCCGCTCCTGCTCCTCCCGTTCACGTGACAGCTGAGAGCTGGTTTTCTTATTCTGCAACATGTTCTCTATGTTTTTTCCCATCTCCTCAAAGTCACTGTCTTCAGCTGAGCTGCTGTCTGTGTCAGTTGATAAGATTTCAGTTGATGATAAAACCCTAAAAAGACAAAATAATGTTAAATTTAAAAGGAGGGGAAACATAAGTTTTTAAAGAAGCTGAAGAAACAATTTTAGTTTAGGCAAGAGTAGGAAATTGAGAAATCAACCTTAAAAGAGAAATATTCAAAATCCACTAAGACATGGGACCCTGAACAGAAAAGCTCTACAAGTTTTCCTAGAAATGCAGTCAATGAGGCAAGTTCAAAATATGAAATAGTATAGCAATTCTTTCAGAATTCTTGGAAAAAGCCTGAGAAACAACAAATCAGCATAGTGGTTATTTTTAATAGGGCATTATCATCCTCTAAACACTAAGCCTCCAAAAAAAACCCCACAATCCCCTATCACCACTGTAATGGCTGCCAGGCTCAAGTAGGCCACAAGATTTGTCATGGAACCTAGCACTTGCCACTGAAAACCTCTGCCAGGCCTGGATGGGAGTGGAGATTGGGGAAGAATGGATACATGTATATGGATGGCTAAGTCCTTTCGCTGTTCACCTGAAACTATCACAACATTGTTAATTAGCTATATCCCAATACAAAATTTAAAAAAGAAAAAATCAAACAAAAAACAAAAACTTTGCCTATTGTTTTGAAGAGAGTAGGTACCACAGCACTATCATGAATAGATATCACCCTGAAATCTCAGATACCTGACCACCTAGTCACATTTTAGGTGACCTTCTCTCCCCTATAAAATAATGTCTGAGACCCCCTCCCCTTTCCAGCTTAGATCTCCTGAAGTACTAAAACAACACACTTGTTCTGCAGGTCAAAGATGCGCTGACATTCCTCTTTGTAACGCTCTTGATGCTCAGCCACAGAAAACCTTGATCCACGGGCAAATTTACTCATGGGTCCCTCTCCAGAGCGGGCTTGTTCTGTTGACATTGTGCGTACTACATCGATCACTTCCCAGCGGGACAACTTCTTAATCTACAAGAGAGAGACACACACACAAATCATTCAGAGATTTCAAAGGAAAAAACCAGGGCACATGGTTAGAAACATAGATTAAAAAAAAAAATCACCCAAAGCAGGTTAGACAGAAAGCTTTGAGAAAGCTAACTCCTGAAGAAGTCTCTAAGATTCAGTCTACCACAACCTAAACTACAAAATTCTCCAGATAGTTCCTAATATCTGCCTCCAAGCTTTCCCCTCCCTATAAAGAGCCCCGGGGAGCCTCTAAGTTTTCCTCTTCCATGCCCACCTCTTCCTCAGGCACACCAAATTTACGTAGAAGTTGCTTGGCATTTTTCAGTGAAAGGCGACGGAGGTCTGCATCTGTTCCTGTCACGGTCTTCTTCACTGGCTGAGGCTCCTTATCATCCTACCTCAGAAACAAAACAAGAAAGAATCCTAGTAAGCTGAACTCTTTATAGTAGGCATCTAAGATATACTGTTAACATTTCTATGGCTTCCCAGATCACCATCCATTCATCTCCATCCCTTAACCTCTATTTCTTCCTCCCCTGATTTTTCACCTTCCAGAAATTCAGACAGTCTCACCTTCTGCTGTGTTGGTTTGTTTGGAATCTTCACATAGGAGAATCCTTCACCACATCCTGTGGGATCTGCCACCCCAGTCACCTCCAGGAGACACTTGCCCTTCATGGCAGCAATGAAAGCCCGTGTGGTGTTCCAAGGAGCAGTGCGAACCTGAGGTGGTGAAAAACATTTGCTATATATCTAGCCACACTTAGAAGGTGGGGATAATAACAATAATGTACAATATGATGCTTTCTTAAACTGTTCACAGAGATCAATAGCTACATAAAGCTGCCCAGGACACAGCCTGTTCTTTTCTATGGTACTTAAATCATGATAATTAGTAAGAGGTCAAAGTCTCAGTCAGTTTAAGTAGGAATATGTGGAAAAGTGGTACCCCCCCTCTTCAGCTCCATACCCCTTGGGTTTGACTGAGAGTTCTCAAAGACAGTGTTGTCCCCACCCTCATGATTTTCAAAGAGTTAAGGTAGACTGATGACCACATTTGATTGTTTAATTGCTCAAATACCTTCGCTAGAATGACCCATATACATACTCTCCCAATTAGATGATAAACAAGCTCTACAAAGTACTGGCCCCAATCTCAGTAGCAGTAAATCAAAGTGTATTCCACCTCTGCCACAGGTTTGGTCAAAAAGACCTGTCCTCTCCTAGAACCATAAATGGTGTTTACTGACCACATAAAATAAGCAGGCAATTAAGACAAGGGGAATGTGCTTGTCCAAACAGACCAGAGAAGGTTTATATAACTAGCTTAGCTATAAAGTGGCCAATTCTCTATTCGAGATTCAATCTTGAAGGCCGTTCAAAAGAATCTTTCATTTCGGAAATTCTGACATCCACTCATTGTTCACTCAAACCTCAAAAGTACAGTACATACAACAATGCTTCTTTACTCACTCTGCCTGACCTCACTGACAAGCATTCACTCATTTAACAAATATTTATTGAATATCTACATGTCAAGCACTACTTTCTCAGGGGCCTAATGTCAGTGAGGGAGAGACAAATAAACCAACCGAATTCAATACTGCATGATCAGTGCCATGACCGGAAAATAAAAAGTGCTGCTGCTGCTGCTAAGTCACTTCAGTCATGTCCGACTCTGTGCTACCCCATAGACGGCAGCTCACCAGGCTCCCCCGTCCCTGGGATATGTATACAAAGAAAGAAAGGATGGTGATCCAATCTGAATGAAGGGTAGGAGTGAGGGCAAGAGTCAGGGAAAACTTCCAAAAGAATATAACTTCCAGATGAAGGTCAGATGATAGAGGAGTGGAGAGGAAATATTCTAGGCAGAGGGAATAACAGTTGCAAAATACTAGAAAGCAGCAGAAATAAATTTAGGGAAATGAATGAACTTTAGTATGTTTGGAGCTTAAGAGTATAAGATGGTCAGTGACAGATGAGAGGAGATGAGAGCTGTATTACAAGACCAAAATAAAAAAAAAAAAAAAGACCAAAATCACATAGAGTCTTGTGAATAATGTTACGGATTACTTCCTAAAACAAATGAGGACCCAAAGGAAGTCCTTGAGCAAGAGTGATATGATCAAACTTTTGTTTTAAAAGATCAATTAATTTTTTGACAAACGGTACTAGAATAACTGGACATTCATATGCAAAAAGATGAACCTTAATCTAAACACCTTGCACTCTAAACAAAAATTAACTCAAAATGAATCTAAACCCAAGATCTAAAACAATAAAACCTTTAGAAGAAAATAAATCTTTGTGACTTTGAATTAGATAAAATTTTTGACCTGACACAAAATCCATACGCATCAAAGGAGAAGATTTACAAGTTAGACTTCTGCTCTTCATAAGACACTGCTAAGATAATTAAAAGACAAGCCTTAGATTGGGAGAAAATCTTTGTAAATCATATATCTGATAAAGGACTGGGACCCAGAATACATAAAGAACTCTCAAAATTTGAGAAGAAAACAACTAATTAAAAATAAGAATGGGCAAGAGATAAATAGATCCTCAACCAAAGAAGATTACTGGATGATAAGCACATAGAAAGATGCTCAATATCTTTAGCTATCTGGGAAATGCAAATTAAAACTGCAATGACATACCCACTATAGGTGGGCAATAATAATAATAAATGGAAAATAACAAGTGTCGACAAGGATGTGGAAAAACTGGGATGCTCATACACTGCTAGTAGGAATGTAAATGGTGTAGCCACTGTGGAAAAGTCTGGCAGTTCCTCCAAAGGTAAAACAGAGCTACCATACAATCCAGCAATTCCACTTCTAAATATTTACCCAAGGGAAAAAAAAGAAACATGTCTATATAAAGATTTATACATGGATATTCATAGCAATTTTATTCATAATAGCCAAAAACTGGGAACAACCAAAATGTCCTTTGACAGGTAATTAAACAAACTGTGGTACATCCATACTATTGAATATTATACAGCAATAAGAGTAGCAAACTATTAATACACACAACCACCTGGATGAATCTCAGCATAATTAGAGTGAAGAACACAGACAAGAAAGAATGTATACTTTTAACAAATGGTACTGGGAAAACAGAATACTCACATACAAAATAATAAAGATGGACCTTTACTTTACACCATATACAAAAATTAATTCAAAATGAGAAAGACTGAAATGTAAGAACTAAAAATGTAAAACTCTTAGAAGAAAAAAAACAGAGAAAAAGCTTCCTGATGCTGGATTTGGCATTGATTTCTTAGATGTGGAACCAAGAGCACAGGGACAAAAGTAAAATTAGGTAAACTGTACTAGCCTACATCAAAATGTAAAATTTCTCTGCATCAAAGGACACAACAAAGTGAAAGGCAACCTACAGAATAAGAGAAAGTATTTGCATAACAAACACCTGAAAAGATGTTAATACCTAGAATATGTAACTCCTACAACTAACTCAATCACAAAAACAAACAACCCAATTCAAAAATGGGCAAAGGACTTGAATACACGTTTCTCAAAATAAGACATACAAACAGCCAACAAGCACATGAAAAGATTCTATCAGGGAAATGCAAATTGAAACACCACTAAGTTATCACCTCATACCCATTGAGATGACTACTTTTAAAAAAACAATAAACAACAAATGCTGGTTAAAGTGTGAGGAAACCGGAACCCTTATACATCATTGATAAGATGTAAACCAGTGCAGATGCTTTGGAAAACATTATGGAGGCTCCTCAAAACACTGAAAATAGAACCACCATATGATCCAGTAATTCCATTTCTGGGTAGATATGCAAAAGAATTGAAAGCAGGGTCTTGAAAAGATATTTGCATGCCCCTGTTCACAGCAGCACTATTCACAACAGCCAAGACATGGAAATAAAAAAAAAAAGACATGGAAATAATACAAATGTCCATCAACGGACAAATGGATAACCAAAACAATATTCCATGGTTTGTGTGTGTGTACATATATACCAGAGAATATTACTCAGCATAAAAGAGGAAAGAAATTCTGACATATGCTACAGTATGAATGAGTATTAAGAATATTATGCCAAATGAAATAAATCAGTGACATAAAAACAAATACTGTATGATTCCACTTAGGCGAAGTACCTAGAGTAGTAAAATTCATAGGGACAGAAAGTAGAAGGGTGGTTGCCGGGGACTGGGGGAGGGAAAAAAGGGGAATTACTACTTAATGAGTAATCAAGTTTCAGTTTTGCAAGATGAAAAGAGTTCTGGAGATTGGCTGAACAGTGTGAATGTACTTTAACACTATTGACTACACACATAAAGGTTTAAGGTGATAAATTTTATGTTACATGTATTTTACCACAATTTTAAAAAGGAGTACATTTAACTGTATGATTTCACTTATCTAAAACTCTAAAAAATACAAACTGATCTGTGACAGAAAGCAGATCAGTGGGTGTCAGGGGACAGGGAGGGTTAGAGAGAAAGGAGGAGAGCGGAGAAAGGGATTTTTAAAGAGGCACAAACTTGTGGAGGTGACAGATACACTCATTATCTTGTCATGACAATTTCACAGGTATAAACATGCATCAAAACATATCAAATAGTACACTTTAAACATGTGCCATTTACTGTATGTCAATCATCTCAATAAGCCTGTTTTTTTAAGGATAAATGGGATATACTAATAAAGATTAAAATCTCACCTCATCATCAATCTTCATCTGGAAATCTTCCTCATTTTCCTCTTCTGGAGCAAAAAAGGACTTCTCACCATAGCCAGCATCCTGGAAGAGGACAAATCCATGTGTAAGCCAATCGATAAATTGGAAAATGCAAAGCACAAGTTTCACCAAATACCAAGTACAGAACACCAACACACAGTTTTGCATAGAGAATGGAATCTGTAGTCTTAGGTATACCTATCACCACTCTACATCCTTAAGCTAACATATGTGGATAGTTAAGGCCCATGAGGAAGCTGAATAGAGATGCTCATTAACTCAGTGGGAGACAACTGTGCTGTCCCACCCCAGCTAGATCTTCCCTATTTTGGCCTAATAAGGACATTATGCTTCTCCAAACCACACGTCCAGCACAATCAGCATCTCTGCCCACCTGGAAGGCTGTGGAAAACAACTAAGAAGCGCTTTCCTTGCTTATTATACACCTGTCTCACAAAGAAGAGATTAAAGCCATCACCCAAATGAATGAGCAACCATTTTCAAAAGCAAAATAATATTCCCTAAGTCCCTCACTAAGCCTTTCCACTGGTATTTATCTACAATGTAGTTTACCCCAGAACGGGTATACACGGAGTACCTTATACAGTTTAAATCTAGTATGCATCATTCCTAAGCTAGTGAGAAAAGTTCTTCACCCTCATCTCTCTGAAAAACACCCACAGGCATAGGTGGTGCCTAAAAGGAAAGTGTTCACCTTCAGTCGCTGCTCTGCAGCTATCATGCTGTAATAAGCACAGCACTGCTCTGGAGACACCATAGCCCTGATTTCCTCTTCAGTTGGTAAACGAAAATCAGACTTCAGCACCCACCAGTTTGAATCCATGCCTAGAAAAGATAAGAGAAAATGAGACCATTCGGAATTCCAAAGGCCCTGTCATTGCCATTAACAGGGATAGCAAACCAAGACTGAACCAGGCAACGTCCCAGAAGGTATCAGGCTTAGCCAATCTGAATGTCTGGCCAAGAAAAGCCCTGATGCTCGGTTTCCTACGTCTAAGACATCAACAATCACACTCAATTTCCTGACAGGCAAAATTAAATTAGCAATCAGAGCCTCCATAATTAGAAGATTTGCTACCTCCTTTTGATGACCTCAATTTTTTTTCTATTTTATTAGTTGTATGCTTATCCTTTAACTGGAAGCCTTAATCCTTTCTTGGAAAGAGGCAGAGAGAACATATAATCAGTCACAACTGATGACCTGTGCGTTTGAAGTCAGCGCAGAGCTTTAGCCTCTTCCGGATGCTGCTTTCTGAATGAGAAGGAAAGGCTTTTTTTATATCTTCCATTCGGATCCGCCGTGGGCGATCTTTACTCTTCCAGAACAGGCGATAAATAAAAACCTGCTCAACATACCAAATTTTTTTTAATTTGGCAAAATAAGGATAAAATTCCTCACCAGGGCCCCTTCCCCTGGTAAGCCCGTGATATGCTTTATCTTCCCTGATATGCCCCCAAATCCAAATATCCTTTTATGTACATCCAGACCCCCTCCCTATCCTCCCATTCTTACCTGGAGAAAGTCTCGAATATGAGTATTGGCCCTTTTGGAGTTGGGCCCAGGAACTTCAAACAAAGGGCACTGCTGGCCAACCACAAAAATATCCACTAATTCCCGAATATAGTAACCTTGTCTTGTGCGAATGATAAGGAAGTCAGTTTCTGGCATCTTATGAAGATAAATTGGAGCACGAAAAAGGTTGTTCTCAAATGCCTAACAAAAATAAAAACACAAAAGTAATATAAAGAGAAGCCCTGGAAATTTAGTAAACTCATGAGAACAGAAAATCAAGCTTGTTGGCTCTCCATCCCCATTATACCATCTAAGGCCTATCAATTAACATAAATTAAAATATGGAATATCAAATGGGATTAGACAGATAATTTTTTACCCATTGGTCACCTTTAAGAGTCAGTAGTGGGGAAACTATAGGATTTGACACTATAGATGACACTGGCTGTGCTAGCTCACTGTATAATGTCAGATAAGCCACTCAATATCTATGAGCTCAATTTTCCTCATTTACAAAATGGAGATACTTAAAACTCCTATACTCACAAGATTACTATGAAGATTACATCTGAAAATCACTTTATAATCTAAAAAGTACCATACTGCTTATCCTGGACCCCAGCAGAGCCCCTGACATAATATGTGAAATCAAAACATTTGTTAAGTAAATTAATTAAAAAACAACTAATCAATTAGAAACTATGCTTACAAAAGACAAACTAAAGATGCAGGACGGAAACATTTGAGCTTGTTTAAGTGGCAGCCAGATGAGGATCAAACTGTCACTAAGAACCTGTCATTAAGATTCTAAGGAAAGACTTCTCCAAAAAATCAGAGAAGTAGACAGAAAGAGGGAGGATCTTCAATACATAGGTGTGGAAAGAAAATTCTAATGTGGAAAGAGTCTCAGGGGAAGATGAAAAAGGATATCTGAGAGACTACAAAAGTAGCCACAAACGGTAGAAAACTTCAACAGAAAGTTATAGGGACAGGAACTCTAGGAACAGTATGAAGGTGATAACTCAAAATCTGGTGGAAATGGATTATAGATGCAAAGGATTAAAAAAAAATGTGCTTTGTAGATGCTTTAAGAGAATAAGCAATAGAAACAATGGGATAAACTAGGTACAAGAACAGTTAAATTGGTTAAGATTGCCAAGGGAAATAAACTGGGGAGGGGGTGAGGGAGGAAACAAGGTAGTAGAGTGCTAAAGATTTCCTCACATCATTTGTGGACCTCTGTACCTTCCCTTAACAAAGTATATAAAAGCCAGGTTACCAGAAGGCATTTCCATACCCATCAGAAGAGAGAGGGGAAAAACCATTTCACTATAGTTGGGATGTGGTTCAATACTCAAAATGACCACAACTAATATAATCGAAACACACCAATCTTACACATACAAATTAAACATTCATAAATTAACTATAGTAAGTTATTAATCCAGTTGACTTCCCTATGCCACCCAGATGTTTCTGGACTTCTTACCACTATGTATTTCCAAAAGACTATTTAAAATTTAACTTATAGAATAACGTAATTAGGAGCCAGTTTTAATAAAAAGATGCAAAAACAAATTTTTGGATTACAACGATTTTTAGCTTATATTGTTCTTTCCCATACTTTAGTTAAACAGTATCTTAATTAAATAGAATTGGTTCTTTCTGGGCTGACCAGCTCATCTGTCAATTTCCTTAGGAAAAAGATATAGCAGGAAATAATTCCTCACCTGCAGCAACTGTCCAGGATGGAGTGAGCCTAGAAAAGGAGATGTATGGCAGTAAACAGTTTCTCCATATTTACAATCTGGGGCTCCAGGATCTTTTCCGGGTTTCTATAAGGAATGCAACAAACTGAGTTACTATCCCTGAATATAATCAATAAGCCTAAATAAAACATTCCATGAGCATAGCATTCTACTAATATTACTAACTGCAAAACAGATACCATTCCTTTCTCCCAGTAAATTTCTAATATTAAAAATATATATATATATGTGTTCACTTATGGTCACTGAATATTTAACTACAATTATTTATTAACAACAAAGATTTTTCTGAGAAGACTCACCCGCTTATAGTAGTTTTTTATCTTGGTTGCCATGCCAACTTGCATCATTAACGGTCCATTTTCCTCACTATATTCTGCAAGAATAAGATCTCCATCTTTGCCTGTGAGGTCCTGAGGTGTGCGCATGAAAAACATCTCTCCACCACCTGAAGCTTGCCTCTCTTGTTCTCTCATCTGCCAAGAACAAGGAGAATACAGTACAGCTACTGACAGGACAATAATTACACACAGTGATATTGTTCATTGAGACATCAAAAACTTTACTTGCTTTTTTTTCTTTTATTACAAAAATGTTTATGCATAAAGTCAAAACTATGAACACTTATTATCCCACCATTTATATATTACTTTATATTTTAGCATATTTGTTTTAACTATATCAATAGATTTTGCTGAAACCTTTCTCCTTTTTTTTCTTTTTGGCTGAGCTGAGTCTTGGTTGCTGTGCACAGTCTTTCTCTAGCTACAGTGAGTGGGGACTACTCCTTCACTGTGGTGTGTGGGCTTCTCATTGTGGGTGACTTTTCCTGTTGCAGAACACTGGCCCTAGAACACGCAGGCTTCAGTAGTTGTGCACAGGCTTAGCAGCTCTGTGGGATATGGGATCTTTCCAGACCAGGGATTTAACCCATGTCCCCTGCATTGGCAGGTGGATTCTTAACTACTGGACCATCAGGGTAGTCCATGAACCATTTTTTAAAGCTGCAGTTATCATGACACATTTTACTGTATTTTCACATGCATCTCCCAAGAATAAGGACGTTCTCCTGAATAACCACAATAATATTTTATCACTTCTAAGAAAATGGACAATTTCCTAAAAGTATCTAATATCCAGTCCATCTCACCCATTGGTATTCCAATGCCTTTTATAGCTTTTTTTTCCTAATCAAGATTCAATCATACCTTTGCCTTCTTTTTGATGTGCTTTAGCAAGGGCTGGACTGAATGGGGACCTGGCTGAGATAGTGCCCCAAAAGAGTACTTCTTCAGAGGTGGGCGATGGAACTGCCGGAGTTTGATGGGCCCCATGTGTGTAGGAAAGAAGGGCTGACGTAATTCCACAGCAGGAATTGAATGCTAAGATAGAAATATAAGGGTTCAAATTGAACTCCAGTCAAAGCAAGATTTACTCATGTCTACACCAAAACAAAGCAGTGGTTCCCATTCACCACAGAAAAAAATGCTAATTTTACCTGAATAATATTTCCTCCAAAGGTGCCTCGAAGACCTTGTTGCTTAGGGTAGTAATATTCATCATTGGAGAGATTCCATGGATCTTTCACTTCTGGTTGAGACATGTTCTAATGACAAGTTATCAAATAAACCTTAGTCAGACTACCCTTCTTCATTACCTTTCTTTGTTCTTCTAAACACCAAATCCCTTTTCCCTTCACAGACCTGCTGTGGTTCCTCCTTGATGACTCCTGTTTTCCCTAACAGAATTCGACTCTTCTTCAGAGATGATTCCTTCTTACTCTCCTTGGAGGGAGAGTTTGAAGTAGCCTCTTCCTTCTCATCCGGAATTTCTAAGGAGGAAACAAGTTACCCTGGAGTTGTTATCCCTGAAGATTCACCTTTCCTACTGACACCTTTGCAATTCCTAACCAGATTTTCATCTCCTCCAAGACCACTTCTAATCCAACCAATCAAACTATACTCCTGACATCTCCAAGGCACTACTTTCCAACATTTCTATGTTATGAGTTTTCCCTAAAACAATACACAATATTAGAAACCGACAGCCACAACTTTGCTGTCTCAAACTGCTATCTAGAAGCTTCCAGTCTTGACCTTCCCAACCCTTCTGATTTCCTCCTGCCTGCTGACATTAGGACAGCAAGCTATCAGTTATAGAGAAGGAACACTGACCCAGCCAGTACCATACCCAAAATGAGGTTCTCATCATTGGGATCAAGTGTCAAAATAGGAGGCTCCAAGAAGCGGGGCATGGCCTGAGCATCCCAAATGATATTGTCCTCCCAACGTCCGTATACCAGCTCCTCATTGTCAATGGGAAAAATGGAGTACCAAGGCTTGTCATCATCCAGCGTTGCTGCAAAACCTAGTCAAAACAGGAGAAAAGAATAAACAAAACATTTCATGCTCCCTTCAATTCTAGCAAAGGGAAAAGGAGTAAATGCTAGTAGTTACTCATGTAGCTACTGAAAAGGAACCTACTGCAACAGTGTATTTCTCACTTTTAAAAAATGTTGCAGACAAAAATGTTCACTGCAGTATTTTTTATAATAGTCAAACTTTAAACAACCAAATATTTAACATCAGACTGATTAATTATGGTAATAAGTAATACGGTAAGATATGCTAACAACAAATGTAACAAAGTATATTTAAAATACAACAACTAAAAATTATGAAGATATCCATATATGACTACTATGTAACCAATAAATTATTTCTTATATTTAAAAAATAAGACATTTTTGGTTTTCCACTGAATTACAAAAGAAATCCAGATTAACACAAGAAAATTTAGAAAAGACAGAAAAGACATAAAGAACACTGCACAGCTATCTGTGATCTTACAAACTAGAAAGAACCACTGTGAATCCCATGGTATTTTCCCTTTCAGTAAATTTTCTGTTTATATAGTGTGCTTTTCTTTCACTTATGCAAACAGGATATTAAATATGCCACTTCATATCTGGGCTTTTTTTCCATTTAAAATGAGTTTCCCATGTCATTAAACATTTTTATGAAGAATTTTAAATGACATAAAATAATATTAAGTAAAAAGCACAACACGTAAAACTACCTCTAGGAATAAGCTCAGCTACATACACATACAAGATAGAACACTGAAAGCATAATACACCAAAAAGGTAGAGCTGTCTCTAGAATTACCAGTTATTTTTGACACTGCACTATATTTTCAAAGTTTTCTACATTAAGCATAGCATACCTTTTTTTGTGTGTGCATGTGTAGTTAAGGAGGAAGAAAGCAAATTCTAGAATGATAAAGGGGTCTTTGGAAACAAAAGTAGACTATAAAGATAAAACCATTATTATATCTCAGAAATATTTTTAACTTCAAAGTACTTTTCACATTTTTCTAATGAGAAATCAGAGTCCATCCTAGCTCATTAATAGTGTTAAAAAAATCACAGACTAGAATCAAGGCTCAGATCCAAAACATTTCACTGTCCCTCAGCAGCAAAGATCACAGCTAAGCTTACTTAGGATGACTGAGGTGAAGGACAGTGTGCTGGACACAGTGGGCACAGATGCAAACCTTGTTGAACATTGTAAGCCATGGCATTCCTAGTCATGCTGGAAGGAAGCCAGCCTGCCAGGCTAGCACGCTGTGGTTTTGTCCCTTTGTGTTTGACATCCTCCCCATCCCATATGATATCATCCTCCCAATGCAGTTGTGTCACCATCAGGAAGTTTTCATCAGCCAGAAGATCAGTGCCACTGCTTTCCTCAGGTATCCTGTATTCCTACAGAAGTAGGGGAAGAACAACAAATCCCTCAATGGTCACTGGTCAGAGTTCCCACTCCAAATCCCACAACAGATACATCAGATACATCAAATGTGGTCCTGACTTGAGAGACACACCTGATAATGAAGGAGTATCTGCCTCCTCCCACTCCTAGTCTGGCACAACACTCATTTCACAAACAAGAATCCTTGCAATAGAGCCAAGTTGCCAGGGTGATATACCACACCAAACAAAAGGTTTAGACACCTCAATCTCCCACCAAAGAAACCCTACTCAGTGTCTCCCAAATTGTAAAGTAATACTGACAGGGCTCTGGGCACAGTGATTCCTTTCTTACATACCGTGTTGCTTACGTCCATCATTCTACATTTCATCACAGGTTCCTGTTCCATCTTTCTTAGTTTGAAGCCATAGTCAAACCCACTGCCATCTTCAGGGACACCCAGCATATCATACCACAGTCGAGCAGGCCCATAACGCCACTCAGCCACTCTTGGCTTGGTGTCTGTCACTTTATCTGTATCTCCAGTTGACTGGGAAAACTTGGATTCCACAGGTGCCATCATTGTGATCTGTAACAGAACAAAGCAGAAGGGGAGGTAGACATCCTGATCCCAGATGCCCTAAGGCTATAGGGAGTCAATAGGCAGGAGGGGGAACTTAGAGGAGCCATAAGGATGATTCTTGAACAGGACTGGGGTTAAAATGCAAACAATGGAGGTTTATCATGGCACACTCTGCCTATCATTCAACTTTCCTATTCACCAGTATATCACTATCTGCCTGCCCACAATACTTCTCTAATACAACAGGGAAGGGACAGCTACTGGGGCTGAAATCATGATTACTTAATGATAATCAGCACAGGACACTAAGGTGTTACTTTCAATTTAGACATAAGCTAGGAAGAACTCATTTGTTGCCCTCCTGGGTCTTAATTCCAGATCTCTATTTTGCCTACTTCATCATCAGAGAGACACTGCTCTGGAGGTGGTGGTGGGGCATAGTCATAGTTCCACAAAGATTTCTGGTTGACTTCTGATTCTACTGAGCACTCCGTCTCCTGGATCTGCTCTTCCTGTATCAGTTCACGGTGTTTCTTCTTCCTCTTTCTCCGAGCACTGCGCCAAACAGATGGGACATTCTTTCCTGGTCCAAAAAGACGTAGGAAGCGCAACACCTAAAACACAAAACATGTTTCTGTGTAAGAGACCCAATGTCAGATAGGAAGACAGTAGCTCTGAGCTAGAACTCCTTTGAGAAGTCTACTCAACTGTGAGGGAGGGATCAAGAAATGCCAAACTCAGATTTACAACACCAACCAAGAAAGTAAAGTATTCCTTAATAATTTAGACTAGTTCCTTTAAGATGGAAAGGACAATTCCTAACGAGAACTATATAAATCACATGTATTAATATGATCAAGGCATAAAACTTTAAAAAAGACCCAATACAATATCACTGAATAAGGAAACCTTTACTTTCTGCTTATTCTATATTCAATATCTCAACAACACAACTCAGTATTTACAAGAGGGCAGTGGTTTGGAATGTGGGCATTCTCCACCGAAAGTACCTTCCCAGGACGAAATTCTGGGAAAAGTTCTGTGACACTCGGCAACAGCTTGGTGGCATCGTGCTGCATAATCCCAGCCAATGGTAGGGTCAGCTTTCCATCCTCAGATTCTGTCTGTGTTGCTTCCTGAGGTCCCATCTCAGATTCTGAGTCAGAGGAACTACTGAAGTCCACTTTCTCTGAGGCCAAAGAGGAAGGGGCAATGATGGAGGGCAAGATGATGCCTTCTCCATCTTCAGACACTGCAACAAGGAAGAGAAACCCCTTTGGCATGTAACCGTGAGCATATTTCCTCAAATTCAGCCAACACCCACTCTAGGCTTAAGCATGGCTCAATGGCAGGGGATACAGTTCTAAGCACCCAGATTATGAGGTATGCAACCCGGAAAACTCATTCCAACTCATTATTTCCCACCATCCACAACTCACCTTGTACCTGGTACCCTGGGGTTGTGATGAGAGAAAATAAACACTATTACTACATTTACTACTTTCTATATTAGGTTAAAGAAATGTGACCAATAGAAAAATTACATAACACTTTTATACCAATCAGGCCTTATCATGTCTGATTCAGGGACTCATAAACTGGAAACATTTAAGCCCACAGAGTAATGATGAAATTATTTAGAGTAAAACAAGCTCTAAGACACAAAGTTACCAAATGCTATTTAGCCTGCACACTAAAAAGGAAAGGGCTTAAAACTCTACTAGGAGACATTTAGATTGACATAAGCCTCAAAACACTAGAGATCAAAGACATTGCTCTTCCCCAACCTTCCAGCCTAGAACAGGATTACTTACCACAGTTGCAGACATAGGAATAGGTGAGATAAATCCCTGCCTTTGAAATATCTGAATCTGACAGCTGGCTGTAAATGATTTATACCCATTCTAGGTGCCTTCTCATTTAATCATTTTTTAAAGAGAATCATCTAGACAAGTAGTTTCCAAATACCAGTACAGATCAGTTGCATCAGAAATTACTTGAGGAAATTCTGTGAAATCCCGGGCTCTACCCCAGATCTTCTGGATCAGATTCTCCAGGGGTGAGAGCCAGAAACCTGCAATTTTTTGAAGACTTGAGGTGACTATGATGGGCAGTCAGATTTGAGAACCACATCAACCTAAACTACTTTTTCTTGAGCCCATGTTATAATACTGTTGTCAAATATTTTAAAGTTTCCCTTTAACACTGAAATTTGAAAATTGTATGAATCTCTTATAGAAGTTGTACCATTTCCTAGCCGCTTAATCTGAACAGCCCCCTATGAGCATGCCAAAAATCTGGACCAGAAATAGAACTTGCTCCTTAGATAAAAGTAAGTAAGTCTCTACTTACCACCAGCAATTGCATCCTGGTCCTTATCCTTTTTCATTGGTCCTGGAGGTGGAGGTGGAGGAGGCATCAACTTGCAATCAATGTCTTCACAATCAGCATCATAGTCATCCTCATCATAATCTAATAAAACCAAGAAAGTGATTTCAATATCCAGAATGTCACACAACAACCTTGAGCTCCCTTGTCACTCAATATTTTAAAGCATCATATAAAGAACTATGCAGATTCCTTGAGAACACACTAGAGGTACAGCTTCTGCCTTCAGAGATGACACCGTATCACCAAATGCTGTAACACTATGTATATCTCATACAGGAATTTAGGGAGCCCCCAAGGACTGTTTATTAATAAAACCTCTGCTCTTTCTCCTGGTCAAACACTGTTTCTTTTCAACCTGCTCAACCTCATAATTAAATTTAACAATCTTCTTTCTCTGTCAGTTTAAAACTGGACTTTCTTCTCACCTCCCAAGTCTTTGACACATTTTTTTCTGTCTAACTTCTGTAGCCTGTTATTCTTTCCACTAACCTTCAACCACTGGCATCACTCAATACTTCGTTCTGAACACTCTGATTTTATTCCTCTATAAAATTCTTCATTCCCTTTCTCAAGAATCGCCTTTATCTAGACTAAATCCAAACCTGCATGTCTCGTCCTGACTTAGCCCCTCTACAATTGTACTACACGTTCTGCTGCCTAAAGAGCTTTTCCATTCAGATATTCAACAATTATACTTTACTATCATACTGAAATATCCTTAAACTTTTTTTATTTCCCTTTTGTTACTATCAATACCACCTCCATCCTCATTTTCCCAGCTTACGATTTTAGCCTCCTGTCTCCTTCATCAGTTTCTTACACCCAACACATCTTTTCCAATCAATCATTAATAGCAGTCATTAGGCAACTTCTATTCATTGAGCTCCAGGTATCACGTGCCAGATATTTTTAGTTATTTTATCTATAATCCTCCCAGTAACGCTACAGAGCAGAAATTATTCTGAGCTACAGAAGTTAAGTGACTTCCTTAGGGTCATATAATTTTAAGCGACAAAGTCAGAATTTAAGCCTGGTTTAACAACAAAGTGTCTTTCCAACACACTTCCTCTCTTACCAAGTTCTACTGATGTTTTATCAGCAACTCTAAAGTCTGACCCTGCCTATCATTTTCCACAACTGTCACCCTACTCCAGACCTTGGTAACTTTTGGTAACTTGACATCTAGCTCACAAAAACAGTCTCTCAGTTGGCCTCTTTATCCTTTTCCTTTATGATTTTCAGCCACACTGACTCTTTGATGCTTTGTGTGGGCCTTCTCTAGTTGCAGCACACAGGCTTATCACTGTGGTGGCGTCTCTCATCCCGAAGCAAACTCTAGGCATGCAGGCTCCGGAGAAAGAGGGCTTCAATAGCTGTGGCATGTGGGCTTCCTTGCCCCAAGGCATGTGGGATCTTAGTTCCCTGACTAGGGATCAAACACATGTTCCCTGCATTGGCAGGCAGATTCTTCATCGCTGAACCACCAGGGAAGTCCCCCTCTAACCTTTTTGTAATCAAAATCCCAAAGCAACAAGTATCACTTTTCATTTTCATTTAGGAAGGGAAGACAAACAATATTTAAGGAGCTCCTACCATGACACTGTTCTATGTAGGTGATTTCATACCATGTAATAATGAACTTAAATTCCCACCAAAGTCTTATTAATGAGGTAAATATTAACATGCATAAACAGACAAGAAAATTGAGGGATTATTACAAATGAGAAATACAAGCCTCAGGGACTAAGCAACTTTCCCAGGGTCAAACTAAATATGGAGTTATGATTTTAACCTATGACATTCTGACTCCAAAGTCCACCTTCCTTTCATTATACCATCCTGCCTCTTATTCAACAATTTATATCAATTACAATTCTTTACAGCACGAAGCTCCAAGTAGTGTGTACATAAAGGTGCTATCAAACTGCTCTATGGGTGACTTCCCTGGTGGTACAGTGGTTAAGAAATCTGCCTTCCTAGATCAGAAGAATCAATAGAGTGAAAATAAGTACACTACCCAAAGCAATCTATAGATTCAAAGAAATCCCTATCAAGCAACCAATGGTATTTCTCAGAGAACAAGAACAAATAATTTCACAATTTGTATGGAAATACAAAAAAACCTCGAATAGCCAAAGCGATCTTGAGAAAAAAGAATGGAACTGGAGGAATCAACCTGCCTGACTTCAGACTATACTACAAACCTACAGTCATCAAAACAGTATGATACTAGCACAAAGACAGAAATACAAATCAATGGAACAAAATAGAAAGCCCAGAGGTAAATCCACACACCTATGGACACCTTATCTTCGACAAAGGAGGCAAGAATATACAATGGAGAAAAGACAAGCTCTTCAACAAGTGGTGCTGGGAAAACTGGTCAACCACTTGTAAAAGAATGAAACTAGAACACTTTCTAACACCATACACAAAGATAAATTCAAAATGGATTAAAGATCTAAACGTAAGGCCAAAAACTATAAAATTCCTAGAGGAAAACATAGGCAAAACACTCTGACATAAATCACAGCAGGATCCTCTATGACCCACCTCCCAGAATAATGGAAATAAAAGCAAAAATAAACAAATGGGACCTAATTAAACTTAAAAGCTTTTGCACAACAAAGGAAACTATAAGCAAGGTGAAAAGACAGCCTTCAGAATGGGAGAAAATAATAGCAAATGAAGCAACAGACAAAGAATTAATCTCAAAAATATACAAGCAGCTCCTGCAGCTCAATTCCAGAAAAATAAAGGACCCAATAAAAAAATGGGCCAAAGAACTAAACAGACATTTCTCCAAAGAAGACATACAGATGGCTGGCAAACACATGAAAGGATGCTCAACATCACTCATTATCAGAGAAATGCAAATCAAAACCACAATGAGGTACCATCTCACGCCAGTCAGAATGGCTGCTATCAAAAAGTCTACAAACAATAAATGCTGGAGAGGGTGTGGAGAAAAGGGAATCCTCTTACACTGTTGTTGGGAATGCAAACTAGTACAGCCACTATGGAGAACAGTGTGGAGATTCCTTAAAACACTGGAAATAGAACTGCCATACAACCCAGCAATCCCTCTGTTGGGCATATACACCAAGGAAACCAGAATTGAAAGAGACACGTGTACCCCAATTGGTTCATTGAAGCACTGTTTACAATAGCCAGTACATGGAAGCAACCTAGATGTCCATCGGCAGATGAATGGATAAGAAAGCTGTGGTACATATACACAAATGAATATTACTCAGCCATTAAAAAGAATGTATTTGAATCAGTTCTAATGAGGTGGATGAAAACAGAGTGAAGTAAGTCAGAAAGAAAAACACCAATACAGTATATTAACACATATATATGGAATTTAGAAAGATGGTAATGATGACCCTATATGCGAGACAACAGGAAACACAGATGTAAAGAACAGTCTTTTGGCCTCTGTGGGAGAAGGCGAGGGTGGGATGATTTGAGATAACAGCACTGAAACCTGTATATTATCATTTGTGAAAAAGACCGCCAGTCCAGGTTCAATGCATGAGACAGGGTGCTCAGGGCTGGAATAGGGAGGGAGGTGGGAGGGGGGTTCAGGATGGAATAGGGAGGAATGGAATAGGGATGGAATAGGGAGGGAGGTGGGAGGGGGGTTCAGGATGGGGAACACACGTACCACCCATGGCTGATTCATGTCAATGTATGGCAAAAACCACTACAATATTGTAATTAGCCTCCAATTAAAATTAATTAATTAATTTAAGAAAAAAGAAATCTGCCTTCCAGAATCAATACTGTCAAAATGACTATACTACCCAAGGCAATCTGGAGATTCAATGCAATCCCTATCAAATAACCAATGTCATTTTCCACAGAACTAGAACAACAACAACAAAAAATCTCAAAATTTGTATGGTGACATTAAAGACCCTGAATAGCTAAAGTAATCTTGATAAAGAAAAAGGGAGCTGGAGAAATCAGACTCCCTGACTTCAGACTATATTACAGAGCTACAGTCATCAATATAGTATGGTACTGGCACAAAAATAAAAACATAGCTCAATGGATCGGGACAGAAAATCCAGAAATAAGTCCATGCACCATAGAATCCACCTTCCAATGCAGGGAAGTCGGTTCAAGCCCTGGTCAGGGAACTAAAATCCCACATGGCACAAAGCAACTAAGCCTACACACCACAACTAAGACCTGATACAGCTAAAAATAAATAAATAAAATAAATACCAAAAAAAAGAAAGAAAGAAAACCTGCTGGCCAATTACCTTCACACTACTCATTTCTATCTCCAAACCTTTACGAAGCCATGTTACCAAACCAGAATGTCCTGCTGCTCCTCTCTGTCAAACCTTATCTTTCAAAATTCACCTCCATGAAGCCTCTATGACTTATACCTACTTCTAATTATTCCAAAGAAACACTCTTGTAAATCAAGCCACGTGAAGGGGCCAACACCAGGGAAGGAGGAAACTAAGGGCATAGATGAAGGTACCCTCAGAAGACAAGATAACTTAGAAATGAGCTTCCAGAGTACCAACACTATCAAATATAGCATCCTCCTTTTCCAGGAAATCAACTCATTCAACCCAATTAAGAACCCCTTATCTAGTTTCTTCCTTACTATCCCTAGCCACAACAACAAATCCAAATCTGAAAATTATAACATTCCCTGAAAATCAGAGCTGCTACCACCTTCCCCTCAGTCTGTCAGGATGCTAAAACTAATAGCTGTGCTCTGACTTAGCTAGTCTAGCAGCCTCTCAGAACTAAATAAAGCATTCTATACAGAAATATGAGCTGGCAACTGGTTTATGTCTTCTTATTGTGAATAATTATGTTTAGCATTCATTTATTTTGCCTTTCCCAAATGATAATAATATCCCTGAAAGCAAAGCTTGTATCTTCAGTTTTTCTAAGTTACTTCTTATGTATACAGTACAGTTAATCTCTTTATATAAGAAGCACCCAGGGACTACCCTGATGGTCCAGTGGTGAAGACTCTGTGCTCCCAATTTAGGGGGCCCAGGTTCAATCCCTGGTTAGGGAACTAGATCCTACATGCTGCGACTAAA